GTGCAAAACTATGCTTTGATGCAGAAATGCAAGGAATGAAGGGACAAGTGCATTTCCGAAACGAAGAAAAACAAGTTTTTTAATGCTGGACCAATGACGATTGGATAACGCTAGCAAAAAAGTGGGATTTTCGTTGTCTGGCAAACACTTGCCTCAACCGGCTTTTTTTGACACAAATATCCACCTTATAAGTGCAGAAACAAAAGCGGTTCGACACGTGAAGATTTTCTTCCCCGATTATGCTTTTCGCACTGATGTCACTTATGCGATCATTTTTCTTCACTTTTTCTGGCTTAACATTTTCAAAAATGAAAATTAGAGCTATGGTCACTTTTCTACCAAATTTCCTGTTCGAATGCTCTTGTGTGCTGTAGCGTCACATTAATCCCTTCTAAAAAATTGAAAGGCAGCATAAGTTAGTAATCGAAGATGGTTACTTTAATCGCTACTTTAATAAAACCAGCAGGATAGTATTAGACTTCAACTGGGGTTATGTAATTTTTGGTTAACATCATTGGAAATGTCTCGAGTATTGCCCGTTGCTTGCAGTGTTCACTTATTTTTGCACTTCTCAAGCTCACGCTTTTCAAAATTGCCTATTTGTTATAGTTCGATGGCACCCTTTAGAATAATTGCATGAGCAATGAGCAGACAGCAGACAAACACCATCTTCAGTCTTTTCCAAAAAACTTTAAGAGCATCGTTTTCACTGTTCTTGGAATTAGAAAAATATAGCATGACATAAACATGAATTTTCAATACAAAGTATAGAACAATATTCCTTTGAAATTGAGTACAATTTAATATAGTTAAGACCGAATATTCGCGATTGAATAAAATTCGAACATTATGAATAATTCGATTGGAAAAAGCGCATAATATATATTGAGACATCAACATTTGAATATTCCATTCTTTGGAGAATATCTGCAAAACACCAAATATGATTGAGATTTTCTGTGCCATTCGAATCATATATTTGAAAAAACATACTTATTCTATTACTCGAATATTCGTAATGCCCAATTATTCGACAAATCGAATGGTCGAACATACAGGATTCCCAGTAGTCGAATTCGAATTGGATTATATTTTAAATGGCGCCTCGAATAATATTCATTTGTTTGTTTTGTAATTACGAATGAGTGGTCGGTATAGTTCATTCAAAATTTTACCTAATGTTTCAACTAGACTTAAGCTAGAAACGGTAGATAATG